ACAAAAATCGTCAAGATCATTTAAAAAACTGATGATTTATTACATTTGAGCTTGCGATTATCACTTCGATATATTACGATTCATCGTCAATTTTTCAGCTATTTTGAGAACATGTGTTTATTCTGAACGGAGTAAATATGAAAATAATATTTAAAAAAATGTGCTTCATGATTCTATGATATATATTTCATAAAAAATTGAAGTAAAGTGCTGTTGAAAAACTTATCATTGTGTTGTTCGGCTTCGTGAACTCTTTGGAGAAAAGAACAGATCACTTTGTGAACATAAATCATATTATTTTTTTAGTACGCTTCTTTTATTTCTTTCTTCAAAGTTCTTATGTTTTGACCCTTTGATAATTAATGTTCATATTGACATTATCCTAAATAGAATAATCTAATAAATTCCAGTCTAGTGAGTTAGAAGGTCAAGCACGCTAATGATTATTAATATTACTTTAATTCATATCTTTTAGAATTTATATCATATAGAACCATGAAGAATATTGTTTGAAGTAAAAACAAAATATTTTTTTAATGTTATTTACATTTTTATTTCTTGCAGAATAACAACATATTTCACCATCACACAGTGCTTTAGTTTTTGGCCTTATTTCTTATTATCATTTTTATCAAAAAATTTGGCAACATGTCTTTCAAAAAAAGAAGACCAAGATTATATAATTTATTTGTAGACAAATAGTTATAGAATATAAAATGTCGCAAACATTTTGTTTTAGTCAATATTTTAACATTGTATATATGAATATATACTACCACTTTTACTTTATTATTTGTTATATTGAATTTTAATTGAAATTTCGTAATGTTTATGTATATGCTAAGAAGTAAAAGATAATGTTCTAATTATAAAAAATCTTAATTTCACACATGTGTCAATAGAAAAATTAATGAATTTGTAAATAAATATTTTTCTAATAAAATTTAGATTAACCCGTGAGTTAGCACACGACCGGTTAATGACTCTTCAACCAGTAAAATTGCCTGCGGATCGAAGAGAAAAAAAAATCATTCCATCCGTAAGGCGGGTCAGGTAGAAAAAAAAGAAGCAGCCGCAACAACTCTGTTATGAGCATACCTCTATTGAAAGAGCTCATATTCATTGGCTTGTAAAATTAGTTTCAGAATTGTTAGACTTCTGATCTTCAACCGATGAGCTTTCTAAATAATAGATGCTTTTTCATAAGTATTGCACAATGCAAAGATATTTTGAAAAGTTTGTATCTCAGAGATATGAAGTCTAAAAAAATTCTGAGATTCTTCGTGCAAGCTACTGTACATGAGACATTTTAATTGAGGTAACAATTTAAGAACTGAAATTCGGAAAGATGATTTTTCCAAAAACTTAGAATGTTGCAAAGGTCTTTTGAAAATAGAAATATTAAAAACTCGATAACTTCATCATATCTTAATAGAAATCAATATTCCTTTAGGGTATATAGCAGAACAGTATATAGTTTCTGTTGGCAAAACATCATGGAAATCAAAAGAGAACATCTGAGAAGGTTTCATCGTCAGTTTGCATTTAAACTGACGATAAACAGTTTTCCTACAGTTGTAATTTTTGAATTTTTTTTTTCTTAAGAATAATGGCAAGAATAACTCAAAAACAGATTTGAGTAGAGCTTGTTGTTCAACTTCATCTTACACACACATTGATAGAGAATGATCGTCTGGGTAATTGAGATTGTTACAATTAGTTTTCTGTATTCGGTCGAAAACATTTTAATAATAAGTTCATCTTATTGAAAAAACATATTTGAGAAAAAAAAATGAGATATCTCTGAGTTCTTCAAAATCTTTTTCGTTTGATTGCATTCAATTTATGAGAAGTCCCTAAAGCCATATTTTTCATGGTTTTCTATTTCTGAAAAACATTTTTTACCTTATGCTTCAGGGTTATCTATAGATTTGAGCGCAATCAGATAAAAAAAAAGGTCACGATAAACTCGGAAGTATCTCATTTTTTTGCAAATATATTTGATCTATGAGATGATTTCTTTTTCAATAGATTTTCGATCGAATACAAAAAACTAGTTACTTTATTCTTTCTTCAAAATTTAAGGTGAAACTAAAAGAATATTTATATTCATAAGAAATTCTTGCAGTTAATTAAAACGTCATTTCTTTGATTCATTCTGGCATATTACTATTAAGGAAATATCTCAAAAAATACGAGTATTCTAAACTTTGAAGCTGTTCTTTAATTGAATAAATTGATCACGAGATCCAGATTGTATGAGAAAAATCAATGAGAAGATATCTGTTTCAATAAAAGACTGTTAGTTGATCATTATAAATTTCCATAGTTTAGATAGAAATATTGAATGTTTAATTAAATCTTTAGCATATTAATTTTCTTCAAATTTGATTGCTTTTTTTTCATTTATATTTAGGATATAGATTCAATATAATAGTTTATTTTAATAAGAGATAGAAAAACAAAACCTAATAGATTGTCATTTATAGTTTATATTCTATTTCATGTTGACATATTCGAAATAATGTAATAATCTTTTGGTTAACAACAACATTCTCATAATCATTATTTTTCTCATCTCATATTTTTTTTTTGTCTCTTGAGACTCAAAAATGGAAAACATAATCAAGAGAGAAAAAGCCTAATTTTTGTTTCTAAATCAAATTTTCATATCTATTATTAGTAACCATAATACTTGACATGATTCGCATATTAAAATATTTATTCGTTGGCTTTATGGTCAATGTCGATTGGTACGTAAAAAAACAGAAAGACTCGATATTTTTAATATATTCAATAAATCAATGCTATTCGCTATGATCAATAGTAGTTTTAGAATATATAAATAAAAAAATCTGTTGTCTTCCATACATGATCAATGAGTAAAAAAACAGATTATTATCAGACAAATAGATAGTTATTTTTCTGAACTTTGTTTTGCACTAATTTGAATTGATTATCATATTACATGTTTTTTTTTTTAAAATATAACCTTGGAAAAAGAGAATTTAAATATTTAAATAGCCAGTCAGATTTTATATAAAGACTCAATTTCATGTTTGATGTGATAGATAAAAATAAAGGTAAGATTAGATGTTTGATCAACATAGGAAGACATGAGTTTTATTTTTTTTCTTTCTTTATCCTGATTAATAAAAAAAAAGAAAAGATAGCATTCGATAACTAAGATGGTATTAAACACTACTATAATTCATTTTCTTTTTATCGAATCCGAGCTTTTATTTTTATTTTTTCTAAGCTTCGAAATTCATGATTTTTCAGTTTAATTAATTTACTTTAGAATGTCTATTGATAAGTCTATTTTTTAATTAGATATCCTTGAACAAATTAGTCTTTTGTAATACAAGTAAGTATTTAAGATATTAAATAGAATAATCAATAAAAAATATTTTATTTTATGTAATTTGAATCATGTCATATGCTTTTTCTTTCTTTAGGGAATTAAAAAGTTGTATATTCCAATGATTAGTTATGGAATACAAGAATTGTTATATATAAATATGTTTTATGGCATGCATTTATTCATCAAGAATATATTCTATACTTCCATCTATTATCATCTTTTTTTTTTCCTATAATTACTTGTTATTTCTGTTTGTCATATCTCACTAGAGAATAGCAACTTTTCTCTTAATACATAGACACGATTATAAGATGTAGTGCACCTTAAATCATCAAACATACTTATTTTATTAGAAATTCTAATAAAATATTTATCTAATATTATCAAGGAAATATTTTATTTGAACCTATATTCTTTTTTTCCTCTCTCTATCTCTCTCACACACACACATACTTTCTACAAGCTATAATCTAATGCTTATGTCATAACTCATTTCCTGTGAGTAGACTCTTTTGTCTCTCAGTTTCTTTTCCCTTTTTTGATATATGTGTGTGTAAAATGCAATTATAACAAAAGTAGAGTTAGTCAAGCACTAGACACAAGCAAATGGCTTCAGGTCATTGACAGTTTCTTTTTTCATGTCTATATACTAGAAAAAAAGAGGAAAAAAAAGAAGAGAAAAAAAAAAGAGACAGATAAGTTAGAAATCGTCTCGTTTCTTCAATCCATTTCTGTTCTAATGACTACTAGTTACTAATAGGAAAATACACTTTGTATTAACGATCGCTTTTTTTTCCGCCTACTATCGTCTATGTACCAATGTCAACCCACATGCTGTACAACAAATTGAGTTTGATTGAGCGAAAAATGACGATGGCAGAATCGTCTTTAGTGACCTCGAGATATGCACGTTTACACATAGAACTCTACTCGACATTGTATATGTTTACTTCCGTTGAGTTGCAACTTATATATAGTATAAATATATATATATATGTACTATACATGATTAGGAGAGGCAATATGATGACAACGAATAATGAGTGAGACCAGCCGATAGTAACATACGAAGAGAGCACACGAGTAAAGCAAATTGTTCTTTATATATAAGTATTCGTTCCTTTCGTTTATACATGTTGACAATCGCCAGACGCCAATTATGAGCGTAAAACATAAGTATGAGTGAACAACGAAATATTGAAAGAGTTTGCTCTTTATAGAGACTCACTCTACCAATCATATTTACATTTATATATATATTTATATACATATGGAAAATTGAAAAATGATGCACATATAAACACAGATATACATAAATATATATATATACATATATATATATATATTGTGTATTGTGGTGGTATCGAATGATAGAGAAAGAAGGAGAAAAAAGGACGACAAGCTGTGTAAATTCATCATTGTCATTTCTCGATTTTCAGACGTGACATCGTACACTACACATCATTTTTTGTCTTACGGTTTATTAATCATTCAGCTTGTCTTTTTTTTTTTATTTCTTTTTCTATTTAAGTTCAATTTAAAAAAAAAAGAATATCAAATACCACAGACAGCAAACATGTTATGTTAAATAAAATACTATCCATTATAGATATAATTGAATTTTTAATAATATACTATGTTATCTAACAGACATCATCGACAACATCAATCATTATTACAAACACCAAAAATTCCAAATGTGCTTAAGAAATCGACTTCAGGTACTTTATCACCCGATACAACGACAACAACTTCCAGCGGTTATTCAACAGGTGGTTCCTCTGTATCGAATACTAAAGATCCATGTTTGAAAAAGTCATCATCGATTGCCCATAAGCAACATTCTGATCAAGAACAACATAAGACAAAATCAAAGGGTAAAAAAATGAAGAATAAAAATGCATATGGTGAAAGAATCTATCTAATGCTCAAGCTATTTCGTTAGTAGTCGTTCTAACGATGACATTTTCTCTATATTTCTATTCCATCATCTGAATACTGTATCTATCTATCATTCTATTCTCTAACAAAACAGAAACGAGACAAAAAAAAATATATAAAGATTGTACCAATTTGTCTACATTCGTCCTTGGGAAAAATTATCGGTCCCAGTAGTTTTTTTTTCAATGTAAACAGAGCTATTTTTCCATCGTACCTCCCACTATTATTATCTTAGGATTATGATAAAGATATTTTCTTTCTTATTGTATTTTTTCAAGGTCTTCATAATCTTTTAAGTAAACTTAAAAGTCTTCTTCAACCATCAAGAACTAAACATATACATACAAAAACAATGAGATCAACAACTTCAAGGCAAATATCATCTACTAATATACTTCGTCAATATCATCAACATACAACAATATATGATGTATTACCATCATCATTAACAACAAGTAATACTATTTCATTACCATTTACATATTATAATAATTCACCAATGAGACAATCAAGAGGTAATTTTGAAAAAATTTCTGCATGGCTTAATCAAACAGAAAAAATAACAAAAAATGGACAACATAGAAACGATATCTCATTTATTAACTCAAGTAAACAAAAAACCACATCGTCATCTTCTGTTAAAAATGATGATCAAGGTAAGAAAAAAGAAACGATTTCGATGGTGTTGTCTTTTTTTTTTTTAATTTTATTTTAAGTGAAAAAAAACACTTGACAATGATATATATATAAATATAATACCTTGCTTTTGATTTCAATCCTATTTTTTTCTTTTCTCTGTCTTTGATTAAATTTAACTTTAAAGTTGACTCATATCTTCAAGTGTTGATGATGGTATACAATATGACATGCACACATTTGTTGCTTGACTCCTGTATGAATGTTAGGAGAAAGAAAAAATGACACACGAAGCAAACACCATACATCTTTGTAAAGTGAAGATGGATAAAGAACGCTAGGCAAAAGAGTAGAAGAAGAAAGAAGAAACAAGGTGAAACGAAAAACACACCACCTACACAAAATCAAAATTTTTGTTAGAGTTCGTAGTAGTAGTAGTAGTAGTTAAAAATCATCAGTTTAAAAAGGACAACATAGTCTAATTCATGTAAGTTATAGTAACTAAATTTTTGCTTCTCTTGTTAGTGTTTTTTGTTTCACAAACAAAATTCATCTATTAACACTTATGTTTACATAAAACTACAATTTCTTCTCTTTCAAAACATGATAATTTTGTTTTTCTTTTTTTTCATTAAAAAATTTCTTATACTCATTAACATGAAGTTTCTCTATCGTATATTTTGATAAAATTAAATTTTTAATTCATCATCTTTATTTTGTTGTGGCAACAGAACAACAAATGTTTGCTTGGACACAGTAGAATACCTAATAATGCCTCCAATGTTTTTTCTTTTTTCTTCCCCGAATTTTGTCATAGAGCATTATGGATGTGACGGATTTGTAGACAAATATTCTTTATATACCTTAAACTACTTTTTCTACCTTGCCAACCACCTTGCATCTATTTGAATATTATAAACATCAATAATCTATAGGAATAAGAGGAAAAAAAGGTAAAAAGAAAACGAAGCAAAATGTAGGAGGTAGTGGCAGCACTTCCAAAGTAAATATTCACATTCAAGGTGTATCTGTGTATGTTTTAGCAATAACTGTTGTCATGAAAAACACTCGAGCGAATATCAGACCACCTAAACGAAGTTCGTCGTTAGTAACAAGAATCACTCGACCAATAATTGAACAACAATCACAACGAACAATTTCTCCTGCTTCATCATTTTCTTCATCGATTCTTACAAAAGGAATGTCAGAAAGAATAACACCACTACAATCATCAAAACAACAAAAATCTGATAATCATTCATCAAAGTCTCATCATCATCATCGTAACATTGATTTTTCACGTCGACGAACTATTGCTAGTACAAATGAACAAATTTCAAATAAAGAAAATCTTTCAATAAAACATCAAGAAAAATCACAAAAAGATGTTTATCGATTTTCTCCATTATTATCAAAAAATGAAGTTGAATTTCGTCGTCCATCATCAAAACATATTGTTACAAAACAATATTATTTTCATTCATATCCAACAGAAACAAATGAAGATTTATTAAATAATTCTTATGGTTTAACATTACTTAAACAACAAAAACAACAACAACAACAACAGCAACCAGCTAAACAAAGACATTCCGTGGGTACTGTTCTTATGATATCACAAGCTCCTAATCATGTATCATCACAAAAACAATTAAATCCTAGTACATTGCTTCAGCAAGAATATACACTTGATTCGCTTGATGATTTATTATGTGATCGTGAAGTTGAAAGTTACTTTTATCCAACATCTCAATCAGATCATATTTATATGAATTTAGAAAATATATCAGATCCTTATCAAGCACCATTATCTTATATTCATGAAACTTTATGTTGAAAATTTTTATTTTATTTCTTGTCTTTTTCTTTTTTTTTCTTTTGTTTTATTGTCATTTGTTTTGTAAATACGAGAAAAAAATCTTTTTTTGTTTTTAGTCGCATTGCACACGTTTGTTATTAACGTAAAACCAAGCATGACAACCACCACAATAGTTGGCTCTGAGAAAAAAAAAAAGATTTCAAAAGATATTTTTAGACAAATAAAGAATTTAATATTAACATACCGGCATACAGCTTCTGGATGTTTATTACATTTAGCAAAACCACATGGATTGACAAAACAGTTAACTGTAATACATTTGGCTAAATAATTCAATGATTATATTTATAAGATCCTAATGTTTTTACAAAACATACTCTCTTGAGTTTCAACTGGTTGTTTCATTTCTAAATCTGAGCCTATGTACACATAAAAAGAATCAATTTAATTTGAATATTCTATATATAATCAATTCATACAAGAAATTCGTTTGCCTTCTAAATACCAATGTGCAAAACAACCACCACAATAATTTGCACTAATAAATGAGAAGAATTTTTAGTTGATTTCTTTCTTTTTGTTTTTATTTTTTCCTACTTACACACATGAAGCACCGGGATATCCATCGCATCGTGAGACCTTTAATTTTTAATTTTTATTTTTGAAAAAGAATATATTTTATAAAGAAAAAACATTTTACATACTTGACATGGATTAACAAAACAGTTCACTTGATTTAAACAAAGTGAACCAAGTAATAGAGGCTTGGCAGCATAAGATGATACTTAAAATAATTTTTGTTTATTATTAAAAAAAAAAACCAAAAAAAGCAAAAACAAAAATTTCATTTTACCTGAAAAAAGAACAACAAAAAGGGCAACAAGACAAAGCTTCATGTTGGTAGACAATAAAAGTATAGTGAAAAGAAAAGTATTTTTGTGAAAATATCAGGTATTTATCTTTGATTAATATATACAGATATATGGGAATAAACAACAGGTGTGTGTGAAAATTAATCTTTAAATGATTAAAAAATGAAACTTGATATATATATATATTTTTTTTTTTTTTCGTTTAATCCAAATATATAAAATTATTATCTAAGTTGACAAAGTGTATATTTGTTTCATGTATTGTATTTTCTTGTTCTATTTCACATGACATATTAACAAATGATAAATAATGTGAACAAGATATTAATTTATTTTTCATAGATTTATTTTCATTATTTAAACAACAACAACAATGTTCAATTTCAATTTGTTCATTATTTTCAAATAAAAAATTTTCATTTTCATTTAATATAATATGATGTAAATAATAATGATGATATTGATCCAACATAAAAACTAATAATTCATTTGTTGATAATGAATATAACATATCTGAAAGATAATAAATAATACCAGTACTTTCTTTTAATGTTATAAAATGATTATTAATAGATTGATTTTTATGATTTGAAGATAAAAATATATTATTAACGATAATATAATTTGATGAAGTATAGAGAATCAATGAAAACGTTGATAATGAAGACTAGAAGAATAAGAAAAGTTATAATCAATCTTAAATGAATAGATACGATGATTTCACTATATAAGAAATTTATAAATAATATTAAATTTATATCTAAGTCAATTTAAAAACTTCCTTAAGATTTTTAGCAAAATTGACTGACTAGATGTTATAATATTATGAAAATTTTCTTATATAACATTTGATAGACTATGATATTTTTTTATATTTGTAAATGCGTATACAATTATTTAATCTTACTATTACATCAATTGTTTCTTGTATTTTAAAATGAGTTATAATAGAATCTGTTTGTTTTGATAAACGTAATTGATGTTGACGATGATATAAATGATTTTTCCATAATAATGGTTTATTTTCTATTGTTGTTGTTGTTGTTATTAATGTACCTAACCAACTATTTTCATTTTTATTTTCTTTGACAAGTATTATCAACTGTCGATTGTATTCTGAAGAATTTTGACATGTATGCCAAGCAAGAAATTGATAACTATGTTGATTTTCATCAAAAACTATAACTAATTGTTTATAATCATAATCATTAGTATCATATGTTGTTTGTGTTGAAGAAATAACAGTGTCAATCATAATTGACATTGTTTGACAACTTACTGTACGTTGACATCTATATTAAATAAACAATAAATAGTAGAAGACTAAATATTAATAATTTACTTTATTATAGGTGAATTATCAGATGATATTTGATGATCACAAATAGTTTTAATTGAATGTTGATCATCTAATTTAACTTCATTTAATAAAATTGAACGTGATAAAGAATTCATATGTATATTTGAAGAATTAATTATTGCTCGTAATCGTTCGATTTCTTCAGCATATTGTTGAAGAAGTACATACGATGAATTTTCATTAATAATTGGTGTATTACGAATATTTTTTGTACGAGATGCATAACTAAAATAATTAAATATAAAAAATTTTTGTTTCAATGAAATAATATTTCAATTGAATGAAATAAATTCTGCAAGTTTTCGAAGTATTGATTAATAATTAAAATAAATAGAAGAAAAATTTATTAAGTGTTCTAATATAAGACTGTATTAATATTCATTCGATGAACTTGATTATGATAAGACTGTCTAATGAACTCTATCGAATTCTAAAACAAGAGAATTCTCTTTGAATTCGAATGAATCTATTTTTTATGCCTGTAAAAATGAAATTTTTTTCTACGAACAATCAAAATATATGATGAAAATGTCTACTATGAGTAATCAATACCATTCGTTCAACTCACGAAAAGCTGGATAGTGAAGAAATTGTAAAATACAGAATGAGTATGCCAGATTTTCCAGAAAAACAAACCTTCAATTTTTTTGAGTGTTTACAGCTCGGGTAAAAAAATTTATTCACACCCCAGGAAATGATACAGCGAAATGTTCTCTACAAAATGAGACGTTTCTGTCCTACATCAGCTTTACGCAAACTTTATACAGAATTTTGTCAAATCATTCTCATCTTGAAGGGTCACTAGAGTACACCTTATATAACTTTATCTAACCTGATGACATTTCTCAATGAAAACGTTCGGTTAACTGCAACATTTCTATAGATGTTCTAAATCTGAATGATTATGTTTTTTCCTTATATTTGGCAATTATATGTTTCAAACTTATTACTTCATTGGAATCATCATAAGGAATAAATTAAATATTATTTATTGTTTTTATTTACCGAAGTGTACATAATGTTTCATCATAATTATCTTCTGAAGGTGATATACATGCAATCATAATTGTTTTAGTAGTTCCACCAATACTATCTTGTAAAAGACGTGTTAATTTTGAATCACGATATGGTATATGTGTTGTATTTGTTTGTACTAATGATGATATAACTTTATTTAATGCTGATAAAGATAGATTAATTTTAGCTGATTCAAGTAATTGTTGACCACTGGCACCAGTTTTTATTTGACGTTCACTACCAGCTAAAAGTTTTCTTTTTTTAAACAAAATAAAATTCAACATTGAAAAATTACCAAGATCAACAAAATTTAATTTTCCTTGACGAAAAATTTTTGTTTGATTATTATGTTGATATTGAATTGAAAGAGAAAACATTGTATGTGATCTGGATGAATCTCGATTCATTTGTGTTGAACCCATTGTTCGTGCTAAATCACCTAATCTTTTTAATTTTATACATTCATCTATTGTATAAACCTTTTTCCAAGTTAAATTTGTTATATGTACACCTGATGAGCGAGGATTTTCACGTAATTCAAGGCGAGAAGACGATTTTAATGAAGTACGAGGTAATAATAAATCATGTAATTCTTCATTATAGACTATGAATAATTTGCCCTTAGATTTTATATTTATAAAAAACTTGGAAATTAAGGATACTCATCATCTTTCGTGACCCGAAAATAGTCTTTATCCGTTAAAGAAATTGAGACGATATCAAAATTTATGTAATAGACATAGTGAAGCCTGGATTTCTTCAGTCTAGTACATCCTATCCAGTTGAAACTTTTTTTCACATGTACTATACACTGTTTGAGATGAGTATTCTTTTTGTCTCAGAAAATTGTGTTTCGTTGATTATCGGTAGTTCCTACAAAAGAAACTCAATGCAAAAAAAGAATGCATTTTGTAGGGTTTGATAGTTTAGCTTTTTATTCGAAGAACAAAAGATTATAAAGATACACACACCAAACAGTATCTAGTACCTGTAAGAAGGTTTCAAGGTCGATTGAATATAGCATTTCGGACAAACTGAGGGCAAAAATGTGGGTTATTTTGATACCAGTATCTCATAGAACATCGCATTCGAAAAATTTGAGTATATGCCAATTTATTCTCTACTCGTTAAGATCTATCTGAAACTAGAGTTGTAACTGACTAATAATGATCAAACTAGTTCGGTTTGCTGGACTATTATAAATTGGTTTATGAAAATGACTTGAAAAATATTTGTTTTCCGCTGTTGTACTCATAGTTACTATATAGTACGAAAAAAAAGAGTCAATTATCTATCAACTAATTGTCAAACTCTAACTCCTGTTTATGCGTTTTAATAAATGAAATATCCTTTGATTAAAGAAATGAAACATAGTGGACAAACAGAAGAAAATAAAACTGTTAGTTCTTGAAACAATACTGCTTGATCTTTATGTTAAGAATATACAAACTTATTCTCGATAAGTTTTATTAGAAATCTCGAAAATGGGAGATATCTTTCAGTTTGAATATTTATCAAAACTAAATTTTACTTTCAAGATAAGCACATTTAATTGTAAATTCTTGTCCTTGTTCATTATTTGATTGATGTTGATGAACAAGATAAAAAACATGTTCAATAGCATTTGAAATTAATCCACTTTCTGAATGACATGAACAACCAGCCATTGTCCATGATTTACCTATTGAATATAAAACAATAAAAAAAAATATATATATATTTTTCTAATAAAATCTCAATTTACTACCAGATCCAGTCTGTCCATAAGCAAAAACAGTACCCGAATAACCATTTAATGTAACATCATATACTAATGATTGAACAAAATCTTGAAATATATGTTCTGTTCGATGATTTTCATCATAAAATGAATCAAAACGAAATAAACGAGATATTCTTCTACGATATCTTTTCGGACTAATTAATTTAATAATACATTGATGATTTTTATTATCTAATTGTTGTATATCAATACATTTTATTGAATGATTTATAATTTCTTTTTGATTAAATGGACGACAACGTATTAGTACTTTAACACTTTCTGATTTATTTGAAAGCATATTTTAAATATTTTCTTTTAAATTCAAAACAAAAAAAAATTCATATTTATATAAATCAGAATCTTAATTAAGAATTAATTTTAAAAAAGTGAATGATAAATGAGCGCTAAAGATTTGGATTTTTTTTATTATTATTGCAAATAGAAATGGAAGAAAAACAAAAAACAAAACTGAGTAAATTGTACAAAAGCATATATGTGACAAAACCTGATATAAAAGATAAAGAAAGAGTGTATGAGAAATGTTCTTAATGAGATTTTATTTATTTTCCACTTGTAACAATAAGTAATCGTTGTATCTGACTTTCTAATTGTCGACGTGCTCGTTTTTCTTCTTCAAGTTCTTGTTGAAGTGTTCGAAATCCTAAACGAAGTTCATTCATCATATCTAGCATTGTACGACGTTCACTAAATTAAAAAAATGTTTTTTAAGAATTAATAGAGTAAAAAGAAAAGAAATTGAAAAAAATTACATATCAATATTTGTTGTATTTATTGATTGAACTGATGATAATGGAATGTTTGAATGATCAGATGAAATATTTTGTTGTCCGCTAATTGATGGTAATGGATGTTCAAGATTAC